GGTGACCCACCTGGTGTCAGATAGATCCACCTGGTGTCAGATAGATCCACCTGGTGTCAGGTGACCCACCTGGTGTCAGATAGATCCACCTGGTGTCAGGTGACCCACCTGGTGTCAGATAGATCCACCTGGTGTCAGATAGATCCACCTGGTGTCAGGTAGATCCACCTGGTGTCAGGTAGACCCACCTGGTGTCAGGTAGACCCTGTCCATCACTGTGTGCCTCTCAGGTTTCAAAGAGCAGATCTACGACGTGTACCGGTACCTGCCTCCAGCCACACAGGTGGTTCTGATCAGTGCCACGCTGCCACATGAGATCCTGGAGATGACCAACAAGTTCATGACCGACCCCATCCGCATCCTGGTGAAACGGTGAGAGATACAGGACAGGGCGTCCCTGAGTCCTGCATCAGGAGATGACAGATATATATACAGTACTCACAAAAAGTTAGGGATATTTGGCTTTTGGGTTAAATTTCAGGATGAGCCTAAAATACATTTAAACCTTTGCAGGTGAACTTAATGTGACCTTCTCTAAGCTTTTGAATGCATCTATCCAACTGTTAAATGTTTCAGTTCTTTTTGCACAAGTTGCTGTTTTCTAACGAGGAGCTTAACGGCAACATTCACAACAGGTGTTTGATCTTTGAATCGACCAATAAATGTCCTGGTTCAATTAGAGCTGGTGTTTAAACAGTCATCCTCATCATGCTGTTCACATTTTAACATCATGAGACCAAGACGACACCTAACAATGGATCAACAGTACCTTGCCATTGGGAGGCTTCAAACAGGACATTCTCAGATGGACGTGGCCACTGAGCTTAGAGTGTCACAGAGTCATCAGCAGGTTGTAACAGATGCCAAGAGACTGGAAGAGTCACAGAAAGGTGTAGAAGTGGACGTCCTTTGACCACATCCCATGCTGATGACCGTTACATTGTGAACAATGCACTGAGAAACCGGATGATGCATGCCACTCAACTCCAGGCACGGTTAAGGGAGGTGAGAGGCACCCAAGTGTCAGGTCAGACCATTCAAAACCATTTACGTCAGCATGGTCGGGGTGCTAGATGACCTGCAAGGGTACCTGACCACACCACCAGGCACAGGCATCATCGTCTTGCATGCACAGGCATCATCGTCTTGCATGGGCCAGGGAGCATTTACACTGAATGATGGACCAGTGGGCCTCAGTGCTATTCTCTGATAAAAGTCGATTCATGTTGAGCAGAAATGATGGCCGCCAGCGATGTTGGAGACGTCAAGGAGAGCGCTATGCATCAGCCACTGTTGTCACCAGACAAGCTTTTGGTGGTGGAGGTGTTACAGTGTGGACAGGTGTGTCCATTCGGTACAGAACTGCCCTACACTTTGTGAATGGTACAGTGACAAGCTCATACTACCTGATTAACACCATTAATCCAGTGGTTGTGCCCCTACATGAACAACACAGGCCTGATTTCATCTTCATGGACGACAATGCTCCAGCTCATTGAGGTCACACCATCAGGGAACGGCTGTTGGAGACTGGTGTACCTCAAATGGAACGGCCTGCACTTTCTCCAGACCTGAATCCCATTGAAAACCTGTGGGATTAGCTGAGTCACCTTGTAGAGGCTCGAAACTCTGCACCCCAGAACCTGAATGACCTTAGGGCTGCCCTTCAAGAACAGTGGGATACCATGCCTCAGCAGACAATAAGTCCACTTGTGCAGCATGAAGGGCTCGACACACAGGAGGCGACGTCGCTCTCTCTCCATTCATTTCCTATGGAGCCTGTGCGGTGA